ATATAATTTTAGGTAATTACAAATCCTAGCTGTTAAAGTTTTAGTTTACATGCATTTTGTAACTATTGGCAGGACAATTTCTCGTCTTAATGGCATGGCCAGGTGGTTAGGGCGCTCGACTCGCAATCTGAGGGTCGCGGGTTCGAATCCCCGTCACACCAAACATGCTCGCCCTTTCAGCCGTGGGTGCGTTATAATGTGACGGTTAATCCCATTATTCGTTGGTAAAAGAGTAGCCCATGAGTTGGCGATGGGTGGTGATGACTAGCTGCCTTCCCTCTAGTCTTACATTGCTAAATTAGGGTCGGCTAGCGCAGATAGCCCTCGTGTAGCTTTGCGCGAAATTCAAAACAAACAAACAATTCTCGTCTTAATCTGGGTGAGTAAGTTTTGCAGTAGTTTCCTTACACGTGATGAGTGTGATATCTGTCAAATCAAGTTTTCGGTCCTTCAGAAGTAAACAACAACAACAAACATGACACTTTAGTCCCTTGTTTTCTATAAAACCTATCAATCCAGCATTGCGTTATCCAGGAAGGAGCTGGTGAGCAACTGACTTAATCATTTTATTGGAAAAAAATCCTCTTATCTGATATTTCAGGGGGGTTAATCCCCCACTTTGGCTGAAGCTATGGATTTCACTATGCATCCTCTATGTCTTCTTCGCCTCCCAGTACGTTTGCCGTCCTATAACGCTGAAAACCGGGTTTCGATACCCGTGGTAGGCATAGCACAGATAACTCATCGTGCAGCTTTGTGCTTAATAACAAACAAACAAACTATCCGATTCATGTGCATGATTTTATACTGCTATCGTTTGGAGACTATTAAGATACAATAAAACATGGCAGTAATTTGGGAGTTGGGTACTCCGGTGTAAAGACTTCAAACTACCCCCCCCTTTCAAGTTACCTCCCGATTACCCCGGGGGGTAGCCTGAACCGGATTTCATATTACCCCTGCACTGTTCAGATTACCCCCCTCGCCGATTCAGCTAAAATGATAAATCATTATGCTTACAACTCATTCCTGCCAACATTTTTCCAATAACATCTCTCTAAAATAGTGGCCCTGGTTCTGTCAATCCCAAGATGACTTCGCAAGGAACGGGCAGTATCACTATCTCCTGGTATTTACCATAACACTTAGTTAGTGTGCAAGATTTGCATGTTTCATATGTAGTTGATGTAATTCTGATCTACAGAGAAAGATAACTTATCGTACATCATCCACTACGGGGGTAATGGCAGTTTAATGATAAATATTATTATTATTTGTTGTTGTTGTCAGTTTATTTGTATTTATGCATGAAATAAGTATCTAAATAAACATAAATAAATAAATGTTTCGAGAGGGTAATCTGAAATTCCTACACCAGAATGTTTCAACAGATCTAAGTACAAAGCAAATATTTTATGTATATATAAACTCTAAAGTTACAGTAGAATAATTCACAGCTGCTGGTTATATACAAAATTATAGTCGTTACTAGAAAAATATGTAGGAAATGTCGCCTTAAAACTTTGCAGGCAATAACAAATATAAAAGTGGTTTCAACAACACATTATGTTATAAATCATTTCATATATCTGTTAGTAATTGCCAAGATCATGATATCAGTTTTCAAATGTCACGTTTTTGACATACAGAAAAACCCTGCTTTGCGCCACTCCGCTTTAAGCTGATTTATTACAGAGTTCTTGTCTCTTTGAAAGATTTTTTTTTCAAGGGAGTGAAAAAAAAATACTAAAATCCAAGACTCTCCCGAACACTACTTTTTCATACTAATGGTAGTAGTACACTAAATAGTTTTTATTTAATAAAATAATGCAACAAAGAACATGGAATAATAGCATGAAAAAAGCAGACAATGTCCCCTAACTTTCACAATTTTTCTGGTGTTTCTAGTGACGCAATATAAACCATTAAAATGTCATTAATCTACATAATATCGTTTCCTTGGGAAAAAAACATTTTCTTAGGAAGCGATCTACAAATCTCTGTACAGAAAACAACGTAATATAATACGTCATATGATAGTCGAAAACCTTGCCCGTCTATTGGTTAAAACTAATACAGTCGTACACGTAAGAGAGAACTACATTTATTGACAAATCCTGAAAGAGAGGATGTGATAGGTGGGCGTGGCGGGAGGGGTCTGATTTTCTATTTCATGACTCTGTAACCAAATAAAATTGAAGGCTATAAAAATATGCTATTTTCCAGCAATGACGATATTATAGTGAGTAATTTACATTAAATTTATCAGTACCTAAATAAAACACTTACATATTATTCACAGGTAATAAACAATGCATTCAGTTACATATATCCATATATATGTAATGTTAAAATGACTGTTTAGAGCTGATTCGTTTAGAGCTCTGTTCTCGGGAATCTGAGCACCAAACGGGATATTACGGGATTGTTAAGTATCTACAGGGAAATAACTATAGTATTATCACTTTTACTAAGGCACGTTTAATATAAATAGGTTTCTTAACAAACTTACTGAACATGTTCATATAGGTTACATGAAAACCTGAAACATGCTACCTGGAAAATTTGCATGGTCATACATGTTACATGAAAATATGAAACATGCTTTCTGAAAAATGTACATGGTCATACATGTTACATGAAAATATGAAACATGCTACCTGAAAAATTTACATGGTCATACTTGTTACATGAAAACCTGAAACATACTATCTGAAAAACTTACATGGTCATACATGTTACATGAAAATATGAAACATGCTACATGAAAATTTACATGGTCATACATGTTACATGCAAACCTGAAACATGCTACATGAAAAATTTACATGGTCATACATGTTACATGAAAATATGAAACATACTATCTGAAAAATTTACATGGTCATACATGTTCCATGAAAATATGAAACATGCTTTCTGAAAAATTTACATGGTCATACATGTTACATGAAAATATGAAACATGCTACATGAAAAATTTACATTGGTCATACATGTTACTTGAAAACCTGAAACATGCTACATGAAAATTTACATGGTCATACATGTTACATGAAAATATGAAACATACTATCTGAAAAATGTACATGGTCATACATGTTACATGAAAATATGAAACATGCTATCTCAAAAATTTAGATGGTCATACATGCTACCTGGAAAATGTACATGGTCATACATGTTACATATAAACATGATACGTTCACATATAGCTACATGAAAATGTGACACGTTATATACGTGTTACATGACAACTTAATGACGGTAAACGTAGAGTAAGCATTACCTAACTGACTTAAAAAAAATCACTAACCCGTATGTCACTATGTGTGCTTTTGAAACGCCTCTCAAGAACATATGAAATACAGTACGTACAAAAGTATACATTGTTATTATGTGTATCTTAATTAATTATTTATTCTTTTTCATTTATTATTTTTAGAAACCACCATAGCTCACCTGGTTTAATATTTTTTATTTGTCTACTTGTTTGCCTCAAGTAATTACACTGATTAACTTGCCGTTTCGTGTCAAATTTAGATTTCCATCATAGTCAGTCAACATTTCTTCTTGTTTTGATTTTTTGTTTATTATTTTTCCTATTTATTCCTAAGAAATAATCCCTTCCAGTTATTATATTACCAACGTCCTCTCCCCGTAAAAATGGCACGAGATGAAACACTTCACACATTCAACAGGAATACGGTTGTGTTCAACAAGTTTCAAACAAAGTAACTTCGTAGTTATAGTATTTTGGCACTTGTGTATAAAGTTAAAATCATAAATAATATTCAACGTTAAACTGGTACACAATTTAAAACATTTTATTTAGGCCTATCTATGGCCTTCAAAAAGTTGACGACTCTACTGAGGATGACGTTGTAACGTCGAAACATGTACAGTCGTCAACATTTTGAAGGACATAGATAGGC